GTTTACTGCGGTCCACGGACTTCTGTCGCCGGCCTGCCAAGTTCAACTAACTGGCAAAAAGAGAGAAAACTATTAGTAACCTTTTGCAAAGAGCGGTGACCACCAATCGATTTGCATGCTGTGCTTATTAACCGAGAGGGAAGCTACAGAAGTCTTAAGAGCTAAGAGTTTTCTACAAGAAAATTTTCAATTTAACAGTTGTTTTCACAAAATTAAAAAGAAATTAGCTTAGATAATTATTATACAAATTTGTTGTTCAACTTTATTAATTATACCGGCAATCTTAGGCTGACATAAATTGAAGCCAACTTAACTAATAAATTTGACGCAGTCGAAATATAATAAGAGCGAATCTTTCTCAAACCGACAAATAAATTTATTGTAAAACAATCTCTACAAACATATATTATTATCAAAGAATTTCCTAAAATACACCCAAAACCACAGGTTTGCTAACTCCCGCTGTCACCAAACTCAAACTTTTGGGCACCCCCGAAAAAGCAGCATAAATTTGTGGGAAACCCAATGCAATTCGCAATGCCCTGAGCAGCATTTACTCGTTATCATCGCACAGGTTGTGGCTACAGGGCCACTTGAAATGGATACCCAACAGGGAGCCAGAACTGCGGCTCCCGACCATCCAGGTCCACCAAACAAGACAACCCCCCAAGCTCCCGGCTCCCGCCTTTCGCTCCCCGCGGGTGGGCGGAAAACCTGAAATGGAAAACAATTTCAGCTACGCAAACACGGCGGGAAGGCCAACAGAAAAATAAAGAAAGGGAAGCACAAAAATTAAATTGCTAAGCGGAAAAGCAGAAAAGCTGAAAAAATGAGGGAACCAAAACTGAAATCACAGCAAAAGTTGAACCGCAGAAATAAAGTGAAATATATATACACATTTATATGCTTTGCTCGGATGCTGGGGGATTTCGAATAATTTCAGCTCAAGGTGTTTGCCCAGCCATCGAGCGAGGAGATTAGTTTAATTAGTCAACGTGGCGTATGCGTCATGCGGTGGCAAGCCACCAGAAACGTGCCACATGCGACGACGGAAGGTAGCACCGCCAAAAATGCAATCGAACTTTTCGCGTTTGACTTGCGGTAGTTGGAAGGGAAAAGTCACCGGAAAATCTGGGGAAATTCGGGGGTTGCAGGGCGACAAGACAGATGCAAATGATAGGTGCTATGGCCCGGGGCATAGCAGCAACTTGAAACTTTTTTAAGTAGTTGGCATAGTTGAGTTGAGCAGCTTCGGAAAATTGGTAAGCGTCGCTCAAGCCAGGCAAGCGATACTTAATAGCCAGAATAATGCGTAAATTTTAATGGTATTTTCTGAGATATCAAAAACGTTTTTATTTTTACCCAAGCCATTCTTGTTCGTTCTACAAAAAACAATTGTAAATGTGCAGTCAATTGTAAAATATTCATCAAAAATTCTCTTTTGTTATACATTCTTATTGATTTTATTGGAGCCATTTACCCTATTAAATGGCTAATGCCAGTGCAATAGGAGATTTAAGATAATTTAAAGTTTATTTACTTTATAATTGACTTTTGTTTTACTTTACTTTTAGGTGGGCTTATACGACCATGATGTATTTTAAAAAACATTTTGATGTCAGTCTTATCAAGGTGTGATTTAAATTAAATCGGCTGAGGCTGATTAAAGGTATTTAAGTGACATTTAACGAATAGTATACATATTTTAAAATGAGTATTTGTTTTTTATTTACATATATTTTTTAATGTATATAAGATTGTAAAGATTTATTTTGTATTGATTTTATTTAAATTCAACTTACATTAAGCTGTCATCTTTTCTATTGACCCATCTCAACCTATTTTTCGGTGACCTTTAACATTTGGTTCTCGGCATTTATCATCAATTATGCTGAAAATTCCGAAAAAGGTTGCCTTGATTGAAATACTACATAAAATTGAGCAAAATATGTGTCGCTGAATAAAAACCGATCCGAAACCTGATAAGCAAACACAGACAGAGAAATAAAGACACCCTCTCCATTCCGCAATAAATCACCTTTCAACCGCTCATCAATTTCCAAAAGTTCACATAGAAAGGGGATGGTGAACAAAATACGGGAGTGCCAGAACCTTAGTTAACTGCTATAATCCACCCAATCAATCAACCTGCTTTCAATTATTTTTTATATTCTCTAAACATTTTTCTTGACGGTAAATATGTACAAAGTATTTTATATCGTGAACTTTAACATATGTGTAAGCAAGTCTAGATTAAATTTAGAGCATATTAATTCTATTTCCATTTACGTAAATAAAATTTATTTTCTTTTTTCAGTTTGGAAATTCACAAAAAGAATTACTTAAGTAAAGATATCTTTCTCATTTAAAAACATTTTTTTGAAACTCTAAATGTATGCTCTAAATGAACAGTATGCGTTAAAATTCATTTTTGTGTATAAATAAAATGTAAATAACGGTGTAGAGCTATTCTACTAATTTAGGCCAAGTAAAGAAGAAGAAAGCTTTAAGCAGTATTTATGTAAAATTAATATTATCTTTAACCCTTACAAATTACCTAAGAAGGTAAACTTGTAGTTGTTTAAATAAAACAGACCAGAAATACATTAGTTTTAAGTTAAACTACCAAAAAAAGATAGATTTTGTGATATATGCATGCATGTACCAAATAAGTTCAACATAGAGCAAACAAAATTGAGAAAAATTGGCAAAGCATTTCCTTTGCGATAAGAGCTCAGTTTTTGTGTGAACATGAGCATGTCCGTGTGAGTGTCTGCATTCATGCATAGGAATAAGCCGATAAAACCCTGACAATTGTGTCATGGAGTAGCGTTTTAGTTTTGGGATTGGACTTAATGCCTCTTGACTTCAATTTGCATAGTCGGCTTAGCAACGTTAGTGCAATGATTGAATGGCAAATTGATAGAATTTGGCATTTACCAGTTGACAGCTGAAAAAAAGCTTTTTCCGGACGGAGAAAACGGAAGGAAAATTAAACTGATGGCTTTGTAGACTTCAGTTCAATTTTAATTTGTGCTCGTTTTAATTATCGAAGTAGCTAAAGGAATGCTTATTCAAATGTTATTATAACCATAATTTATATTAATTTAATTTGAATGTAATATCTTTACAATTCAATACAATTCATTTTAATCAAATACGAACTATTTTTAATCTTATGTTTCCCACATTTACTTAATTGGTTTAATATTAAATTATACAATTTTGAATTGAATAGTCAGATATTTTTTCATCAGTGTGAGTTTTCATTTCTTTAAAATTATCTTTGGCCTATATATAGCCGAGTTTATTCATTAAATTCATCTCATCATTAATCTTTTAACTATCTCTCGTAAAACCTTCTCTGAAGTTGACCTTTATATTGTTAGCAATGTAAAAAGAAAGCCCTCATCATATTGACTTTGACCTAGACCGCAAGTCGTTTCGAGCCCGCAGGATAGGCAATTAATCCAATTAGGACAGAACATATTTGCTTCTCATTAAAAATGAAGTCCTCTGCTCTTGTTCGGACTGAAGGGCTTTGACCAATTACCAAGCATTTTTTCGTTCACTTTCGCACATTTAAAAATTAAATAGAAGGGATGAAGATAAAGAGATTGCCAGAGCGGCTTTGGAATCCCTTTGCCAGCAACTTAAATGAAAATTAAGCCATCTGCCTTAATTTTGCTTAAGTGCTTACCCTGCGAGTGGGCGCAGGCGAGGACACGTTTGCCCACAGGACAATCAATTATGAATGCAACACCAAACAGCAGCCCGGCAAAAGAGTCTGTGTTAAAAGTAAAGTTCACGTGGTTGCGAATCTTTTGGGCGGATAATGATGATAATTATATGTTTTTAGTGACATTGATTTGTCGCCTCTAGGGTGGGGAGGAAAATTCTCATAATATTTAATTCATTAGCCAACTAATCGGCTTACCCGGATAATTATAATAATTGATGTCAATTAGCTAATTGGAGGACCACCCAAGCAGGCCACGTACTCCGTCTCAGCTGTCTCCCCTATGTTTCTCAGACCAGTTTCTCAGTACAGTCACCAACTGCAAACCAATCAGATAACATATACTACCAAAATAAATTTAAATAAAATCTATATTTTTTACACATATAATGAACATGAGAAGTCTTGCCGTGCGGTCTATGTTCCTGAATTGTCTCCGGGAAAATGCATCCAATATGCGACTGGAGCACGAGGATCTGGGCCGTCGCATCGCCATTTCACTGGCCAATTCTCGAAAAACTCTGGATAACATCGAGAACATGAGTCTTGAGCTGCAGAAAATGAAGGAAACTATCCATGATGCCCTTAACACCATTCGCAGAGATGCATCTAAAGAAAATAGGTCTTGTCGAATGCTTCTGAACATTCTATTTATAGTTGTTGCTGAATTCGATTTGGAGGACAAATTAGATCCGAAAATTGTAACTCGGATGCTTATTGACTGTGACTCGAAAACTAATAAGCCAGTTCAACCAGCAATTGAAGGCAATAATTCTTGTTCCAAGCCCGTTGATTATTCCAATGCAGAGCAACATGTAAAGACCGTCTCCAATCAATGTAATGCTTCTATGACTGAGTTTGTTGCTGTACCCAAACTTAAAAATGCTATAAAGGATTTTCAGACAATTATACCTAGTTCAAACTTAAATGATAAGGAAGTAAATGGATCCGCTAATGTTTCTATTTCCCACATTGATTTTGAATAGTCAAAAGGGCAAAACAACATATGTTTTATATTTTTTAAGGACTCAATTAAATTGGCCTGGTCAGTCAATTAAAAGTAAGGTTCACGTGGTTGCGAGTCTTTTGGGCGGATAATGATGATAATTATATGTTTTTAGTGACATTGATTTGTCGCCTCTAGGGTGGGGAGGAAAATTCTCATAATATTTAATTCATTAGCCAACTAATCGACTTACCCTGATAATTATAATAATTGATGTCTATTATCTAAATAATTGGAGGACCACCCAAGCAGGCAATGTATTCCGTATCAGCTGTCTCCCCTATGTTTCTCAGAACAGTTTCTCAGTACAGTCACCAACTGAAAACCAATCAGATAACATATACTACCAAAATAAATTTAAATAAAATCTATAAATTTTGTACACATATATTGAACATGAGAAGAAGTATTGCCGTGCGGTCTATGTTCCTGAATTGTCTCCGGGAAAATGCCTCCAATATGCGACTGGAGCATGAGGATCTGGGCCGTCGCATCGCCATTTCACTGGCCAATTCTCGTAAAACTCTGGCTAACATTGAGAACATGAATCTTGAGCTGCAGAAAATGAAGATAACTATTCATGATGCCCTTAACACCATTCGTAGAGATGCATCTTACGAAAATAAGTCTTGTCGAATGCTTCTGAACATTCTATTTATAGTTGTTGCTGAATTCGATTTGGAGGACCAATTAGATCCGAAAATTGTAACTCGGATGTTTATCGACTGTGACTCGAAAACTAATAAGCCAGTTCAACCGGCAATTGAAGGCAATAATTCTTGTTCCAAGCCCGTTGATGATTCCAATGCAGAGCAACATGTAAAGACCGTCTCCACTCAATGTAATGCTTCTATGACTGAGTTTGTTGCTGTACCCAAACTTAAAAATGCTACAGATGATTTTCAGACAATAATACCTAATTCAAACTTAAATGATAAGGAAGTAACTGAATCCGCTAACGTTTCTATTTCCCACATTGATTTTGAATAGTCAAAAGGGCAAAACAACATATGTTTTATATTTTTTAAGGACTCAATTAAATTGGTCTGGTCAGTTAATAAAAATAATTCGTGTAAATTGTTTTGTATCATTTAATGCTCTAATTAATTCAAGAACATTATTTATTGGTTTTAATCATTTTATACAGTGTTTCAGGTACTGAGGTTCTATTTACTTTTACCATATTAATATTACATGGACATATGTTTGGGTATATATTGAAACTATTGACGGAGACAAGACTTAAAATACATATTTTGAAACACTTCACGCTGACTAAAAAATATCGTTTGTTTTTTCTTTAAAAGATAAATGCATTCTTTTAAATAGTTTAATAAATCTTGTTAACAAAGTCACAGCCAACATAAGAATAAATCTTCCTTTTCTTAAAATTAAACTGAAAATAAATTAGTAAAAAATCTAGCCGTATTATAAAAAAAATTAAAAATAAAAATTAAAGAAACTGAGAAAAGCGTAAAAAATAAAACACGTGTGCCTTGAAGCAAAGCATCTGCCAACATCTTTGCATAAGCATTTTCCATATTTCGTTTAACAGAAAAATCATATTAATATTTAATTTGGAAGGAATCATTGCTAGGAGCTCAGAATAACAAACTCTCCACTCTTTACTTCCTTGAACCGACGAACCTCAAAATTGTCCATAAAAACACAAAGTAATGGGCAAACTTTGCACTCAAAAAACAAACAGAAGAGCACGCATATTCTATCACAAAATTTTCCGGCCGCAAAGCGGAGGCAACATTACGTATACGTACTGTTAAAAGCCGCATCCAGGGCTAAGGAGAAGCCCAGCTGGTAATCCTAGTGGTGTGCAGACCCAGCATCCACACTCCTAAACAATTTGTCGGCGATTTGTCGGCAAACTTGAGCGACACTACATACTACATACGCACCGAGTGAGCCATATTGCACATTCGCCCCGTGTGACCCACAGAGGAATAACGAGAATAACGAGGTTAAATGACCAGCTGAGCAACCTGTTGACTCCGCTCTCTCCTCTCGCAAACAGCCGAAACCACTCGACGGTGTCTTTGTTTTGCTCCGCTCTTTCGCCGGCAAGCAGCCATTTGCACTCACCCAACTGCTGTTTTGAACTCACTCCGAGCGCTTCTCGCTTGGCGTCGGTTCTCCAGCTGCTGTAGCCTTCAGTTGCCCTCAGTTGCCGCTTGTGAGTCGCCACGTACGGTTCGTACGGTATCGGTTGCGGATCCGGGTCCCAGAAAGTCTGCGTCGCGCTAAAAATCCAGTTTACGTCGCATTTCCAGAGCGGGAGTATACGTAAGTGACGTTCGCGTGCCCAAAGTCAGTTTGGTTGGGGAGCAGATAAAGATAAAGATACATTACAATGGAATTTAATTACGAAAACAAATTTTTGTACTGCCTTTTCGAAAAATATATCCAATCCTTACACTATAAAAAAATTGTTTAAACTTAATAATAAAATAAGAAATCATTGGCAGCAATCGATCAAAAACTAACACATTTTACAAAAGATAATTATATAAATTTGTCAAGAATAAAAGCGTTTCTCTTCGCGCTGGTCAAATTTGAATCCAACTTAAATGTTACAAATTTCTGCTTTTTTTTTTGTAAAATTTAAAAACAAAATTAATATGATCTTGAAAAATTTAAAAACATTTTTTCTGTGTATATTTATAACTATCTATCTCCCCATTAGAATTTGGTTATGCTCCGCCTTCGCCAATTCGGTTTTCATTCAAATTAACTAGTTCTGCAATTCTCAATTTGACTTCTGACATCGGCCGTAATCAAATTTTGCCTTTCATTTACAACTTGTTATAATTCCGGTGCCGTTCGCAGCCGGAAACGTGCTCGCCGCCGTTTTGTCTACGCCACAAAATAGAATGAAGAAAAATGAAAACATAAAAAGAAACAAGACCGAAAGTAAAATAAACTTTGGCAGCAAAATATTTCTTCGGCATTTTTGTTGCAACATTTCTTGTTTATAAAAAAAAGGAACAAGACCGAAAAAATAACAAATGCATGTGAAGACATTTTGTCCGCAGTGTTATGAAGTGGTTAGAATCTTGGCTTGCACTTGTCTAAAAAAAAATATAATATATTCGTTGTGCATTTATGAATATAATATGTGGAGCATCCTTGGCTGGTTGCCGAAATGACAAAATGATGCATTAAACTAATTGGAAAAACTTTGGGTGCTTTGGTTGCTCTGTTAGTGCTCAGCGGAGTTGAAGAAAAGCCACGAGAAGTGAAAAGGAGTGTGTGATGTGGAAGGAATTAAAGAGTGGATATAATTGAATTAAGAGGCTGAGTAATCGGAAAAAATTAAAATAAAAACAGTGACTTATGAGTTATATAAATTACCATAAAATAATGACAAATGCCAGCGCATCATAACGGAAATTTCAGCCCTAACAATGGGAAATAAAGATATTGACAGCAACGGAAACAATTAAAAATAGTAAAAAAAAGGGAAAAAGTGAGAAAATAAATGCATATTTAAAGGCAACAATAAATAAATAAATTTTAAATGCCCATTCTTTTAAAAGTCCCACAAAATAATAACAAATATTTTATTTTCTGCATATAAATCCGCAATTGTAACCTCGAGTTTAATAAGCAAACCACTTATGTCTCCCACAATTTTCTAAACAATTACTCGTGTTAATTCGTCACTAACCTTGGTCAAAGTTGTTGCTTATTTACACAAGAGTGTCAAAATCGACCAGACAAGTAAACAAGAAAGCAAGAGCAAATATTTTAACAGAAATTGAAGCAATCAGCAAGCTAAGCCTAAGATATTCCCAAGAAGTTCGTGAGAAAATGGAACTTTATTATTTAAATAAAAAAGGTCAGAGGACCCTAGCAAGCGATTTAATGCAAATAAAGCAGGTTGAGGGTAAATTAAGTGCACAGATAAGGCAGTTGATAATGTGGTGTTGATTGGACTTGGGGGAATTTTAAGAGGTAAGAACACTAAGTGGAGGGAGGTCCCGCAATGTTCACATAATTGAAAAATAGATTTCTCTACACTCGGCTGAGAATTTGTGAATGCTTTCAGCATATTTATGTGCATACGGGGGTCCGACTGTGTATTCGGCCAGCTGTCCAAGAATCTAGGCCGTTTAAATTGCTCCCCGTTCTCTACACATATAAACTTTGACTATATTTAGATTTCTATTATATATGCATACTACTTGGCGTATGAGTAATGTTCCAAAAACTGAAAACAAATTGTTAAGTTTATACGACTTTATAAAAGCTTAGCTTTGCTCAAAATTGGTCTCTGCAAGCCAATTGTTTGAGATTTTATTAGAATTTTTTATATAAATTAAACGTGCTTGTCATGAAAATATCCCATGAGAACAACATATATTCAAACAAATAAAACTATTAAATCTGGAAACTCATGAAACTTAAAAAAAGAGAAGCGAGCAAGTGCAAGCAAATACTCATACGTATTTAAGGCGTGCATATGTATAAGCTCTCTTCAAAGCTTATCAAAACAAAATCAAAAAAGGAAGATTTGTTGTTATACGCGAAATTAAATCTGTTTGGTTTAGCTTTATTATTATTTTTTGAATGAATAACTACTTTTAGTTGACTTAATATTTAATTTTCCAGCAATTATTATATTTTCGTTATTATGATGTCATTAAGTGAACGCGAAAATTATTTAATGAACTTGTATTTTTGCAATTAAACAATTTATGAAGCGTGCTTAACTCGAATGAACCTTAATTATTTTTACTTTTCGAAAGATAATTTCTTAACATTTAATAAAGTTATCAGATAAATAAAAACGATTCAAAGCTAAGTATTAAAAACAAAATATAAGCTCTACCCATTACAAAATCACCTAACTTTTTGCTTTTTATTTATATTTAAATTAAGGTTATTAAGTTTCAGGGTATTAATGTTGTTTTATTTTAATAGGCTTTTATTACAATATATACTATTCAAAAATACACCACTATTAAAACTGAATTTTCAAGTTCAAGATTTCCATTCACAAAAACAAAAGTTCTGCGTCCTGTAAGAAATTAAAATAAGCGGAATAAAGTGCGAAAGCAAATTTCTTCATTGGAAACAATTATGAAAAAAAAGAATAACGTGTTGCAATTGAATTTCATATGCAAATTAGTGATTGTCCGACCATTAAAATTTTCAATGACCTGCCACTACATATGACACGTTACACAATAATAACGGGAAAAATGTAAAAAAAAAGAATGAAAAATAATTGATATAATTTAATGAGAAAACCAGAAAAGCCAACAATTTTCGTCAGAAAGTCACTTAATAAGCCTGAACACAGAGAGAAAATGTAGAAATGTGAAAAAAATTATGAAAATAATTAAGCCGCCAGCAGCTAAAACAACAGCAGGGCTTGACAAAAACTTAACAACTTTATGCTGCCGGTCCGGCAGGTCTGTAAGCTTAATTAACACTAGGATTGCGGTTGGAAAGGAGATTTCCGTGGGCGGAATGGCGAGCTGCCGGCGCTAAATGTCAACAATAAGCTCGAGTGCGGCTGTTGCACTCCTCGCTTTCCGGCCATTTCCATTTGCCACCCATTTTGCAGTCCTTCGTTTTATGAATTTTGAGCAGCTTTCGCCTGCAGACTCTGCGGCAACAAATCTCCAGCGATATTCACGGAAATCGCTTAAATTGTGCAACCAAAATAAACGGATAGCGCGTTGAATTTATGCAAAAATGTAAAAAGTTTTGCCGAATGGGCCACGCTGCTCTGTCCTTTGAAACGTGTTGTTTTTTTTGACTCCGGCAGGGAGCTTCATTGCGCATTCAAGTGGCCCCGTTTGGCAAATGAAAATGAAAATAAAACCGAAAACTTGGACACACCGTCCATGCCCAATTGAGTTTGTTTCGGTTTCGGTTTCGGTTTCGGTTCGGGTTTGAAATATTGCCCCCGTTTCTTTATTTTTGGCCGGTCCCTGGATGATTTCACAAAAGTGCTGCATTGGTTTTTCGAGGTTCAAATGTCTGCATGGCATAGATTTCATTAACTTCACACAATTTTCACAGCCTAATTTGAGGAGTCGATATTTTGCGTA